GATGCGAGCAGGAGGAGTGATGATGGTGCGCCCCGTGCTGCTGGTACTTGCCCTGTGCTGCGCTTGTGTCTGTGTGACGGCTGCTGCGGAGCAGAAGGCGGGTGGTGAACATTCTGTGACCACAGTTGCCCAGCAGAAAGCAAATGATGACACTGCGATAAGAGCTCAAGAGGAGAGAGCCGAAACCATTCGAAACGCCGAGGCCGCCCTCAAAAACGCTGTTGCGCTAGCTGATGCAGCTGAAAAGGCACTGAGTTTAGCTGTTGCAGGTTTGAGTGACGCAAAAGTGGTGGAAGAGAGCGCTACAGAGGCAAGAAAACATGCTGGAGGTGCGTCTTCTACTCTTAAGGCAGCTTATGATCTTCTGGTGATAGAGCATAAAAAAGATGTTAGCACTACTCCTAACTACAGGGCAGAGGTGATGAAAGCGATTGCTAAGGCAAAGACTGCGATGACTTCTGCTCAGGATTTGATGCGGAAGGCTGCCGAGGAAGAGGGCAGAGCCAATGCGACGGCAGAGAAGGCGCTGGTTTTTGTGGAACAGGTACAGGAGGCGTTATCAAAAGGAAAGAAGGCAGTTCAAGAAGCCTCTGTGGCTGCGCCTGGTTCTACAGCAGCCACGAAAGCTAAGGAGGCAGAGCAGGGGCTTACAGCAGCAGTTGAGAGTGCAGAGAAGGTTGCAGCGGAGGCAAGTAACCTTGCCATGAAGGCCAATGAGGTTTTTGCAAGGGCGGATCAGGCAATACAGCATGCCAACAAGGCGGCCGTTGAAGTTGGAAAGTTGGCTGAGAAGAATGGAAAGGTGGTCGAAGCAGCCATGCAAACCAATCCTCCCAGCCCTTTCCTCATTTCTTTCTTTGCCAAAATGGCCAAGGAGAAGTTGCTAAACGCAATGGACGATATCTATTTTGCTCAGGGTCTCGTGAACATTAGCAAAGATGCGGCTGCTGCAGTAGTGGTGGAGGCCCAACAGCTGGNTGCTAAACGCAATGGACGATATCTATTTTGCTCAGGGTCTCGTGAACATTAGCAAAGATGCGGCTGCTGCAGTAGTGGTGGAGGCCCAACAGCTGGTGAACCTTGCAGAAACAACGAAGCCTAAAGGCGAAGCAGCCAGGGTCGACGTGGCCAATGTAAAGGCGGCTCTCAAGGCCGCGCAGAGCCAGGCACAGACTGAGTTGAAACAACTACTGGCTGAATTAAAAACCTTGACAGAGAAGCAGATTCACAGTGAGCCCCCAAAGGGGCAGCAGGAAAGTAAAACTGATCCGCCAGCAACAGAACTCCCAACGACTGCGAGTGTTGATGTGCCAAAGGTCGACCCGAAAGAGTTAATAAAGAACAAGAATGCGGACAGCAGCAGCAGTCGTGCGTGGGTGTGTGCCCCGCTGCTTGTTCTTGTGTGTGTGCTGTCCTGCAGCATCGCTGTGTGGTAAGGAAAGAGTGCTGG